ACAAATATTCATATTCAATTTGTATATTCATAAATGCCAAAGTTTACAAACATGGAATATATGTGATGTAAACACATTTTAAATCGTAACTAAAGAAAAAAGTAATAATATTACAAGTACTTTGAACAGATTAAATAATAAATCAAAGAATTTGTTATGTGTAAAATAAAATTCAAATATATCCAGCTAAAAAATAAAAGAAGAACAATTCCAACATCTATCTAAATTAAGATTACTCTAATTCAAATTAATTCCTTAGCTTCTTGAATAATTTCCGCAACAAAACTTTATGGAATCATCATTTCACAAGCCAAGCATTTGTTGTAAATAATAGATCTCACTTTCTTCAAAAATCCTGCACAAAAAGTTCACATTAGAACTATATAATATAATAAAGAAAAAGAGTGTCTAATGATTTGTTTAAAATTTATATAACTTTTTTTTGGCCAACTACCAATCTTTTTTTATTATGTTAACCTGGAAAAAAATATAATTATTAGATTGTTAGCCGAAAAATTTATATAATTCAAAAGTCGTAATACATAAATACATATACAAACACTAAAACTTTGATTCAGAAAAATTTAAAACCTAAAATTCAAAAAAAATAAAGAAAAACAATCTAGAAATATTTTTTCTTTCTTTTCATTGTTTTCTGCAAGGATCCAGAACAATAATGAGTTCATCACATAAAAATGAAAGGAAAGAAAGAAGATTTATAGTTTAAAACTATTTTTCTCATACGGAAGTTGATGGGGAAATGGGAGAGGAGTATTGCGGCTCCTGTGGAAAAGAATGTAAATAGGGCTAGGTTTTGGGGATCTTAATTGTCTTCCTTAATTTTATTATTTTATAAATATCTTTTACTTTGTTTTACTTGTATTACAAATTCTATAAATGTAACTAACAATTATGGCTAAAACATTACCTATTATAAATAATGTAAAAAGCAAAATAAAATTACGTAGCACTTTAATTTATATTTAAGCTTACAAGTAAGACTTATTTAATAGTTAATTAGTAAAAGATAGAGAGTTTAGTATAATTATTTACATTATATTTATGCATCAAAATTTGTTTTCCAGAGTTAAATTCAAAGAGTGAGGAATTTCTTAATAAGATTTAGATTTTAATATTAGGTGCAAATGTCGATATTAGCAACTCAATATTTTTGACATTTGTGTTATAACTTTTTAACGTTATTTTACCAAATGTCATTGTTTTTACGATATTTGTATATAATGTTGTTGTTTTTATGACATTTACATCAAATGTCATAATTTTTATGTCATTTTACCCAAATGTAACTAATTTTATGATATTTTATGTCAAATATGCTTAGTATGTCTAGATTATTATTTTATTTTATTTTTTTAATTTTCTTTTTAGCATGTTGTCATGCTAGTCAAATTAGCACAATCTCATTTATTTCATTTAGCTTACAATAATTTCTAGTAAGGGAATATGTTGTCCCCTGTGATTAGTCAAAGGGGTTTCTTTTTTTAGTCAAATATTGTGGTTTCTTTTTTAAATAATAGTGCATAAAGTATGGGTTGACAGTGATTCTGGACTTTCTTTGAATAATAATGCATACAACATAGTTTATGGATGCCTTATTTATATATCGTACGATATTTTTCTAACTCTTTATACTCTGTGTTTGCATGTGAAATCCGCCTGAGTTCATTGTGAACTCCCATCATTCCCTTTGCATTTCGGGAGAACCGTAAAGGCTTAATTTCCCCTCTTTCGAGTCAGCCAACCATAAAAATCGACGAACAGGTTTCGGAGTTAAAAGAATATGCAGCAGATCGAGAAGTTAAAAAGATTGGGCCAAAGGCCCACTCTTAATTCATAATAGTTGTATTTTGTTATTTTGGGCCTAAGCCCTTGTCATTTCAATTGTTATTGTTGTATTAGCTTAGGACAGGCGGAAGGATTGGGACCAAGGCCCAAAAGATAGAAAATACTTATATTATGCTAGAATAGGACAGGTACAAATGACTTAAATGGGCCCAAATACTGGTCCAGGCGGACATAAACCAGATTTGGGCCCAACCCTCTTTCCCTCTTTACTTTACCGTGTTTATTTTGCTTGTTAGTATTTGTTGTTAACCTTAGGGTCGAAAAATTCAAATCCCCAAAAGACACCCATTTTTTGAATTAATAATTTAACTAAATTATTCATATTTTACTTGACTAAAAAACAAATAAATAATTAAGTTTACAAAAAAACATTTCACTTAGGTAATATCCCAATATTTCCCCTTTTCCCCTTTTCCCCTTTTAAATAGTTTCTACTATAAAATAGTTCAATTTTGCAAATTTAAGTTAAGTTAAAATTATATTAGCCAAATAAATTAATTGTCGGATAACCGCATTAGCGGATATTCTAGGTGCATTAAAAACCTTCCTAGAATATTAATAAGAACCTCGAACCTTTTTTTAAAGTTTTCACTAGATTTACTGTTTTAGTCTTTTGAAAACGATAGTTTTCTTGATTTTTCTTAAAAAATTAAGTGGCGACTCTTAAACCAGTCTAAAATACATTTTCAAATAAAACAATTTCAATATCTCCATTGTTATTCAATAGTTTGAGTATTGCAATTAGGATCTTAAAGTTATAAAGACTTGTAATCGTGTTTCAGTTCTCTTATGGGAAAAGGGTCAAATATGCCCCTAAACTATTCCAAAAGGACTAGATATACCCCCGTTTAAAGTTTGACTCACTCGTGCCTTCGCCGTCCAACTTTTCGTCTAGATATGCTCTTATGGGCGTAAAATGCCAAATAGAATTGCCACGTCATTTTTACATTATCACGTGAAATTTATATTAAAGGGAAAAGGGTCAAATATACCCCTAAATTATTTGAAAAGGTCTAGATATACCCCCTTTTAAATAAACTACCCGATCCGTTTTCAA